ATGTCCAACTTCCTGCCTGCGCTGCTCCCACTCTGCCTCTCTTCCCTTCCTTGTCCACTTTTTACTGATTTCTGTCTGTTCTGTTTTTTTCGTTTTCTTTTTTTTCCTTTTTTTATTTGTTTGTTTGTGCGTTTTTTTCGGTGATCTTTCAATTTTTTTCTTTCTCTCTCGTTGTATATTCATTTCTGTCACTATGTTTCCACTCGTCTCTTTCCCTCTTTTCTTCCCTTCCTTCTCTTCTTCCTTCTTCTCAGCCCCACAACAAAAATACAAAAGAAAACAGACCCTCTGACATCAGACGAACAAAAATAAACAAACAAATACAAACAAAATACGCGATATAAGAAAAATTATGAACGAAACAACCTACGCTACAAACCCGAAATGATATTTTTGGGGGGCCCAAACACATCACTCACAAACAGACCAAATTACAGAAACGCAAGAAAATACATGGAAAAAAGGCGAAACTTTACAGAAGAATAAAATTAAAACAATCCAAATATATAGAAACCATACCTTAAAAAACAACAGACACGCGTAGCCAACTAAAGAGAAGAAAAAGATAAACGAAAAAAAACAGTCAAAAAGGCAGACGAAATAAAAACAGGGAGGCACCGCCTTCAGCCGCCGTGACATGAGGTGAACAAGGACAAAATGGAAAGGTCTCGAATTTCGGCGCTCTTGTTGAATTTTCATGGCTTGTCCTTGTATATCAAAAAACGTTCGCGGATGGGAGGAGAGGGGGGAGAGGGGAAGGTGTGGGGAGGGGTGGGGGGAGGGAAGGGGGAAGGGAGGAGTTGGGAAGGGAAGGGATAGGGAAAGGGAGGGGCAGCTGGATAGGGAAAGGGAGAGGACGGGGTAGGGGAAGGAAGGGGGAACGGGGTAAGGGAGGGGAGAGAAGGGGGAAAGGCAAAGGTGTGAGCAAGGGGATGGAGGTTTGGTAGAGTGTTGGGTGAGGGGCACGGGGTAAAGTTTAGGAGGGAGAGGGCATGGGAGTGCGGCTGCTGGAGGGTAAGGAGAAGGGGCTGGTAGAGCGCAAGTGGGGAATGGAGACTATGGAATGAGAGAGAATAAGGGAGGAGAAGGGAAACAGATGCAGCGCGAGGGGAGAAGGAAAGGCTAGGTAATACTGAGGAGGGACAACGCGAAATTGAGCTTGGTGCCGTGTGGAAAGAGCCGGGAGGGAGAGGAGGGGAGAAGGAAGGGGAGATCCACTTCCGATGGCCTTCATTTACTCAAATTTGTATAAGGGGAAATGGGCGGAAAGATAAACAGACACGCAGACTGACAGTAAGATAGGAAGACAAGGCAAACGAACATGAAGGCAAAAGAGTGAAAGGCGTAGGACCAAACAAGGCGAGAAACAGACAAGGCAAGACAATCAAAATAAACAAGTCTGACAGACTGACACTTATGATGGACAGGGAAGAGAAACAAAAATATATAAAACATGCAATGATAGAAGCCGAGAAACCGAGACCAAGACAAGTAACCGAACAAGACACAGAAGAGCTAGCACAGCACAGACCAAAAATCGAGCGACGCAAAAGACTTTCCAATAATTTTCGTAACATATCAAACGGAGCCTAAGCAAAACAGAGAAAGACGTCCGATCATTCCATACTATCCACTCCATAGAAAGGCATTAAAGAGAACCAAAATTTCATGCATGAAAGTACCCAAGCCAAAACCACTTTCCATCTTCAACACAATAAAGAAAACGGACCTGTCAGGATAACAAGGGAGACTCATGTATTTCTTGCCCGCTCCTCCTGTCCCTCCCTCTAGATCCTCGAAGTTTTATTGCTTTAACAGCCGAAGGGGCTGAAGTAAATTTGTCCTGCCAGTCTATTTTATTCACGTCCAACGGCCAAACGGCGTCTCTCCTTTTTTCCCTTTCCAACTTTTTTTTCTTTTTTTACAAGTTTAATGGAACGAGTCGACGTCATTAAATAGATCGCCCCCCAAAGTGGAATTTATTTGCGCGTATAAAGTGGATAATGCGCCGACGTCCCAATACCTAACAACCCGAACACTGTATCATGAATATATGCATTATCTCCAGTGTCGAAGTGAAGTCCGCGCTGCACTAATGGAGAAATATATGCACACATACGCACGCATCTGCCTGATGAAGCTAGCGCTAAATTGATTATCATTTTCGCTCGCTGAAGGAAGTTTTAATTGG